GTATTACTTCAAAACTAAATTAAAGCTTGAGCTTTCTGATGATTTGCTCGTGTATTTGGTTTTGATTTCTTTTCTTGCACATTACAATCAATTCAAGGTCATTTATAACTGTCAAATGGAGAAGTTGGCTCTAAATGAACTCATTTCATACTGTGTGAAAGAAGAAGAAATACTAAAACAAGAAAGAACTGAAAGTGCTCACTTGACTAGTACCTATAAGGACAAATTCAAGAAAAAAAGAATAAGAAGGCTGCACCCAATCCAGCTCAAAAGAAACAGCAAAAACCTGAAAAAGATGAATCATTTGGCTGTTACTTTTATGGAATCCTGCGACACGTGAAAAGAAATTGTACCAAATACCACGCTTGGTGTGTAAAGAAAATTACATTTCTCGTTTTGGTTTGTTCTGAGGTTAATTTAGTTTCAGTACCTAAAAATACTTGGTAGATTGATTTCGGTGCCACTATTCATATAATTGTGTCTATGCAGGGTTGCCCGAACAACCGAAAGTCAAATGATGTTGAAAGATCCATCTATGCAGGCGACAGCAAATCAATTGAAGTAGAGACTATAGAAAATTTTAAATTATTATTAAAGACTGATTTTTATTTGGATTTGAAAGAGACTTTTATAGTACCATCTTTTAGACGGAATTTGATTTTTATTTCTGTTTTAAACAAATTTGGTTATTTTTGTTCATTTGAAAATAATAAATTTAGTCTTTTTATTGATTCAAATCTTGTGAGTACCCGTTCTTTATCTGGATATGATAATTTGTACTTGCTTAATTCAGTTGTCCCTTATAATGAAATATTGCATGTGAATTTACAAGGTATTAAACGTAAATTAACTAATGAGAATTCCACTTCATTATGGCGCAAGCGTTTAGGTCACATTTCTCGAAAGAGAGTCAAAAAATTTGTGTTAGAAAGAATTCTTGATTCCCTTGATTTTTCAGATTTAAATGTTTGTTTAAATTGAATTAAGGGGAAAGAAACAAATATAAGAAGATTGAATGTCCATAGGACTTCAGACATATTGAAACTAATTCATACGAATATTTGTAGGCAATCTCTTCAACTTCTTGGAATTGTCAACAATCATTTATTACGCTCATAAATGATTATTCCCGTTATGGTTACATGTATCTCATTCATGAGAAATTTCAATCACTGAATGTGTTCAAGGCTTATAAAACTGAAGTTAAAAATCAATTCGACAGAAGAATAATTGATGGATGAGATTGTTTGGAGATACTTTAGAGTATGATAGCAAAAGTATTGAGCTCATAAGGTTATACACATTTATAAGCTAACATATGTGGCCTAAGTGAGATTGTTGAGAAATTATTTAATTTGCCATATAGGCTGACATATGTAATTAATTGTATATAAAGACCATCTTAACGTTAAGCCAAAAATTCAAGTGATCTAACACAGAATTACGTAATTGGGTTTTGTGCATCTAAATAAAGTATGTGTCGATTTAAATGTGTAGAGACCAAATTAATTTAGAATTGTATTTCATGATGGACGAAATATATATGATAACTATTTATAGGGTTATGATTCTCAATTCATATACAATTCTCATTTTCTGTGTTGTCTCATCAACATAAGAATTTAGAGAGAACATATTGAAGATGAAGATCCAAAATCCACAATGAAGAACCAAGAAGAAGATTTGAAGCAATTAAATTGAAGAACGAGACAATCAAAATTAAGAGTAAGATGATAAATCAAGAGCGTATTGCAAATAGATCTTCAAGACAAAAGATTTAAGCTTTAAAATTTATTATTCAAGATACAAATTAATGGATCAAGGTATGTTCCGCATTAATTATTTTTCTTGGTGATTTGACAGGAAGATCTTGGTAATTACGTAAAGTTTATAAAATTTAAGTTTAATGAAAAATTCAACATCACCAAGCAAAATGATGCCTCACTCAATCTCTTATTTTCAACCTTATAGAGATACCTCATTTTTCTCAAAATATCCCAACATTTTCAAGGCATTGTTAGAAGAAATCTATTAAACCAATCAGGATTCACGTAGTTAAGATATGTTATCTTACCAT